AAAGCTATTTTTTTCAGAATTCCTCTCGGTGCAAGCTATCATTAACCTTTAAGAAAAGCAGTTTAGTAAAAGATAACTAACTTTCCACTAAGAAACAAAGTTTAGACTGAGTGTGGTGGCACATGCCTTTGACTCTAGAATTTGGGAGGCAGAGGTAGGAGGGTCTCTGTGAGATCAGAGTTCCAAACTATCCTGGACTACATAGTAAGACCCTGTCTCAATTAAAAAAATTTTTAAAAGTTGGGGGGCATGTCAATTCTTCTTGGGTAAGGTTGTTCTATGAATTGTTTGGGTTTTCTAAAGGATGTGAGAGACTTCAGTGCTGGTGCTGGGCTTTTGTGGACACTCTGCACTTACCTGATATTTTGTAGTTACTAGTCTTTCTGCTCTGTCCCTAACACAGAAAATAATAGCACTAGAAAACAGTCCTCTGGCCAAAATAAAATGCAGTTTCCCCACCTCTATAAACACACGGGTTCTGAATTGATACTGATTTCATACAGGCATTCTACCCACAGTTTTATCAGTTAATTGGACTACCTTCCTGCAAATCGCAAACCATTGTTCTCACTGGCTCACCACACTGTTTACGTGGGATCACATTTCCTCCTTGTAAATGGTTTTCCTTCTGAGACCTGCTTTAAGAACTCCTGTCCTAATGAATCTAATCTTCACTTTTGAAAATTTAGTAATTTATAAGGCAGGTTCACCTTTTGATGTTACTATAAGTAAAAATATAGGCTTGCCCACTTAGGTGATGATAGCAGCACCCAGATCTGCACCTTGCCATGTCCATTTTATCCAACTGAATGGATGAGGGGCTATCCTTAGGTAGAATTTTGTTTCTGTGACAATTTCTGTCTGTAAGAAAATTAAATACAAGTCTAACAAAAGGTGATAAAAATCAATTATTTCAGTGCTGGCCATCTGAGTAACTTTTGCTATAAAATCTGACTCTAAAATAGCGGATCTTGTATGATCTGCTTTGTAGTATAAGCCCATTATAAGAGTTTTGACCTTTACAAAGCTGCGTGTCACAAACACAGGGGACAGGGTCACTTCCATCAGTGTTGATCTGTACTGGGATGACCTGGATTCTCCTGCAGTTTTACTGTGGCTTTTTACTGAGGAAATCCCTTTAACCTGGGAATTATCTTTTTCTAGATTTCAGAGGTATAGTTTAATACAGATCTATTCGGAATGACTCTTACTTATTCCACACTGTATCATAACATTTTTATAGATGCATATAGTTCTCCATCTAGGATTCAGATCTTAAGTCAAACAAATACGAGAAGTAAACTTCATTTTCCCTCTGGCAGGTCTTAGCCAGCTCTTGGTGAACTGCTGTCACAGGCAAAATCGAAGCCAGCTAGATTTGGTTGAAGTTTCAGTTTTATTTCTAAACATCTTGAGGAAGGCAGAGGTAAGGACAGATTAGAATGTGTCAGATCCATTTCCAGCCAGTATACAGGTGCATGTAGCAGTAAGAACCAACGGGAAAAAGAACTTCTAATTACAAGTTCATTCTGCCTATACCAGTGCCTCTGTGAAAATCAGAGGTGGCTGAGTAGGATGGAGCTCAAGGTATCATAGCGACAGACTGGTCGTGGGACTGCACAACAAGCAGGGAGCTGGAACTGGTGATTGGATGTCCTTTCTGAATATACTTAGACCACTACTTTTTTAATCTCTGTGTGATTAAAAAGTCTTCGTGACTCAAGATAGCACTGTTCTCTGCTGTGTAACCACAAGTGTGTTATAATGGCAATGTTTTAAAAAATATTTTATTCATAATTTTTATGTGTGTGAGTGTATTGCCTTCATGTGTGTAAGTGTACCTGTGTCCTAACATGCCTGCAGAGATCACAAGAGGGTTTCAGATGCCCTGGAACTGGAGTTACGGATGGTTGTCAACCACTATATGGGTGCTGGGAATATAACCCAGGTCCTCTGTAAGAGCAGCCAGTGCTCTTAACCGCTGAGTCCAGTCCTTTAATAACAATGTTTATGACAATGTTTTATCCAGTTATAGGACCAACTTCATTTTTTTTTCTGTCTTTATTGAGACAGGGTCTCCCTGTAGCCCCAGCTGTCCTGGAACTCACTATGTAGACCAGGCTGGCCTCGAACTCACAAAGATCCACCTGCCTCTGCCTCCCAAGTGCTGGGATTAAAGGTGTACGCCACCACGCCTGGACCAATTTAATTTTATCAGTGATCAAAATCATTCATATAGATTTGTTTATGTAAATTTCTTTAAGGTTAGCATTAAAAGTAATGGGCTTCATTGTGACACGCCCACACGTACACTCCAGTGTTCTGTGCTCTTATTCGACCCCCTTCTCACTGTATTCTCCCTTCCCCTCTGTCTTCTTCTTCCTAGATCCTTTCCTCACATGTCTATATACACACACTCTAATTAGGTAGAAGTAGTTAAGGAAACACATTTATTTATAGGGTAGATTTTTACACTATGGAAATGGTCATTTTTGTTTGTTCATTCATTTTTAAGAAGGGTCTCCTTGTAGCCCTAGTTGGCCTGGAGCTCACTATGTAGACCAGGTTGGCTTAGATCTCACAGAGAACTGCCTCTGCTTCCCAAGTGCTGGGATTAAAAGTGTGTGTGTACATATCTGGCTTGGAAATGGTCATTATATATATGTTCATTATTTATTATTTTTATTTTAGGTGTATGAGTGTATTGCCTGCATGTATGTGAGTGCGCCGTGCCATACAGTGCCTGCAGAAGTCAGAAGAAAGTGCCGTATTCCTCCAGAACTGGAGTTACAGATGGTTGTTAGCCACCATATGGGTGCTGGGAATCGAATCTCGGTCCTCTGCAAGAGCAGTCAGTGCTCTTAACCGCTAAGCCATCTCTCCAGGCCCAGAAATGGTCATGTTTTAATCTTAGATTTTAATCTTAGAAAATGTGGCTGATTGTGAAGAATTCTGATATAAGAATAATGCCATGAGGTGTTTGGAGAATCCATGAGCATTATTTTCTAAAGAAA